TGCATTGATGCAATAGAACCATTTTGGATTCAGTTCTTAAAAGAGCGATTTTTTTTTTTTTCTTTTAATAATCTAAAGAAGCCTTTCCCACTGTAAATTACTTTTTGTGTAATGGAAAAGTTCCATGGATGTCAAAAGTTCTTCATGGAACCATAGATGCCAATAAAGTTTTTGTGTGTAATTTTATTTTAAAGGTTAGTTTTTTTTTTTTACTTTGTGAATGGAGGAGAAACAACAAAACAGTTTTTCATAATCCATTTTGCTCATATTTACCAAGGGTGGCAACATTAGTGGAGGATGGTGTAAATATAATTTAATTTAAATGACAGAATTCACTCAAATATTCTGCTCACTATTTTACTCAAATGTTCAATATTTTAAGCAGTAGTTTAAAATCCGAAAACTTAACTTTATCTTTGTTTCTCTTCAAACAGAAGGACCTTCCTTCTGAGGAGATAAAAACAGGAGAGGAGGATGATGATGAGAATGGAGATAACCTGTTAAAAGACAGCAATGACAGTCAGTTTGGCCTTTTTTTTATGAAAAATCAAAAGCCATTTTAATTACTATTGCCCTGCCTGCTGGATTCTGTTCACACTGTATTTTTTGGATCAGACCGGCAGTACGTTTGCATCAAAGTGGCGGCATTTGCTTTGAAGATGACTTTGTGCTTTCGGTTTTGTTTCCAAAGCGTCATAACAGAATGGCGCCTTCATCTATCTGCCGTGAATGTAGGATAAAAGTTTCAAAGACAACAGGAATTCATTTTTGCTCGAGGCGAGCAGAGAAAATAGGGAAAATGTTCAGCTGCCACAGCCACATAGCACATACGGAGGTAGTCGCTAGTGGATTGTAATTATTTTGGGACGTGTTGTTAGAGAGCTAGACGAAATAAGGGATTTAAACCAGTGTTACCCCAAAATATATATTATTATGATAAGTCACGTGACCATGACAACATGACGAATGTACTACATAGAACTTACTTTTTTTAATGTTCTCAAAGTAATCGTATACTCTGAGTAGGTACCACTTTTAAGTGTGCAATTTCTGACAGACATCCAAAATGTGGACGAAAGGTTTGAGAAACACTGGTTTAAACTTTACTGGCTAGGCACAAAAACAATAATAGATACAGCTGCAAGCAGCAATTACAGAGTCAAGCGCAGCATCGGCAGCCAGAGAAGCGTAATGACATGTGTTGGGTTTCACGTCAATGTTTGAAGTAGCAGTCAGATGTGATCACCAAAAATATTTATAACATAGATCATCCGGACGCCTTCTCCAATTATTTTAATGGTCTGCCAGCAGAAGACATGTTGCCTTACACTAATAAGCTAATCTTATTAAATAAAAAATCTGGGTGAGGTTTCCTACAAAACACAGATATACAAGATGTGGACTATTATAAACAACTATATACCTGACACTTGCATCTCTAGGTTAGTATAGTAACTATTTTACATGATAAAACACCAGATCTGCTGCTGCTACTACTGTCTCGTCTAAATAAAATGTCATAGTTTTTACATTATACCCTGTATAATAATTGTAATTTACTTTACTTTGTAAATTGTAATTTAAAGGGGTCATATGACGTTGCTAAAAAGAACATTATTTGGTGTATTTGGTGTAATGAAATGTGTTTATGCGGTTTAAGGTTAAAAAAAACACATTATTTTCCACATACTGTACATTCATTGTTTCTCCTCTATGCCCCGCCTTTCTGAAACACGTCTATTTTTACAAAGCTCATCGGTCTGAAAAGCGAGGGTGTGCTCTGATTGGCCAGCTATCCAATGCGTTGTGATTGGCCGTAACATTTGGGCGGCGTTATGCAAATCTTCCCACATCGTGATGTAGACATGTGGGGGCGTGTTAGAACGAGCCGTTTTAGGTAGGCGTGACTGACTCTTTAACTTTTATAAAGAATATCTCTTTGGATTTGAGACTTTAGTCTTTGCAACTTTACAGATCTTCTTTATGCACCAAGAGCTTGTAACACTTCAAAGAGAAAGGAAACATTTAAATCGCATCATGTGACCCCTTTAATACAATAATTGTTTAAATTAATGCAATAATTGATACTTTTGGTGTTAATTTTATTTGTGCCGGCCTTAAATTTGATTTTTAAAAATCCTGCAGATACCCTGTGAGCATCAAAGGGCATCTTCAATTGTGGTATTTCAAGATAATTTGACAATGCATTTGTAAAACAGCATTTTATGACAAAATTCAAAATGATTGACACCAATGTATTGTTTGGTTTATGTTGCGCTGAATCTAAAGAAACCAGCCTAGTTATTTTTGGCCAAATATACAAAGTATCGTCTCAATTTGCCAAAGTGTTGAGGAGATACTGCCTCGCATCCACTTTGGTGTGCATGGCATGAAATTAATCATGGCCTTTCAGTGATCTAAGACAATTAATTCCATCTTCAAACTGGCTAAAACGAGTTTGAAAAAGTAGGTTTTTTTAATGAAAATTTGGATTGGCAGAAATTCTTAGAACTATGTTATGCAATCAAGTCAGAAATTGTATTACTAGGCCATAAGGTTATAGCATAAGCATAGGTGAAACTGTAAGCAGTTGGTGGCGCTAGAGGGTTTGAGATACTCCAATTTTGCTATGTCCTATGTCTTTTCTTTGGTAAGGTTACAAGGTCTTTGCCTCTTTGTAGCGCGACCCCTAATAAATCATATTAAAAGAAGAGTGTAGATGTTTGTGGTTTGCCTCATGTCCATTTGGGTCGAGGGCTTCTTTCAGCAGGTCTGTGATGTAGGTAGTGATGAAATCCAATTACAAGCGGTCACAGGAGATGCATGTTAAGACCTGCTGTCTGTTATCAGATCACCTGGTGTGAACGAGGCCTATGATGCCTTACGATGTTGTCAATGTTTGTAACATTAGATTCTGGATTTGAGCTAGCGTAAGAGCGTGGCAAAGCTTGTTTGATAACTAAGTGAACTTTTTTTTTTTTCCAGGTCCCAGCATTCAGAGCAAGGCGGTGACCAACAGTCAGATGGATGAGATCGCGGCCAAGCTTGGGTCCAAGTGGAAGACGGTGGCAGACCATCTGGAGATGAGTGAGAAGGAGATCCGTGTGATCGAGTCTGACAGCGAGGATGTAGAACTGCAGGCCAAGATGCTGCTGGTGGCCTGGCAGGACCGAGAAGGCCCTCAAGCTACGATGGAGAGCCTGGTCACGGCTCTGAACTCGGCTGGTTTCAGTAACGTCACGGAAGGTCTCAGCGAAACATAACTCCACAGCAGCAACATTTCCTTGTTTGGTTTTAAATTTTGACTGTATGCTTTTGCTGTACTTCAATGAAATGCATTCTTTACATTCTTGAAATAAATGTTCATTTGAAATGGATCAGATCGTTTCGTTTGTAAAATATACACAAGACTGTCAATGGCATGTTTATTTCACCGTTTATGAAGAGCCAGTAGTCAATAACATATTACAGAGCTCAAGTTTTCTTACTCTGATTTGAGTATTTAAAGACAGATGAGTTTACAGTGACAGAAGCAGTAATTGAGCATAAAGACATCCTCTCAAAGTGCTTTGATATGAAATTCACACGCGCACACAACATAGTAAACGATTTGCGTTTCTTATGAGATCCCAGTATCATACCTCTTGATGCATTTGGAAGTCTGAAACTTGTGGCCAAGAACATCTTTATATACCAAGTCACTACTTCTCCTCCGGTGGGATACTGTCTATTAAGCATGAACACCTTTTCACAAGGCTTAAAAAAAATAATTCAATGCATATAGAAAACATTTATAAAACCACTGCTCCAAATCCAAACAAGGATCGCGTCAAGCAATCTATCATCCAAAAAAAGCACCCTTAAAAATGCCACTTGTGTTGATGCATGAAGAGTTCAGGAAATATTAAGGTCATGTTTTTAAAGACACAAATTTATTTGCACATCTATACAGACGGTGCTCTGAAATGGCAATTATGCTTTAAGTCTCCTCTGTGAACCATTGTTACTCCAGTATCTCCAGACGTCGAGGGCCATACAGAAGGACGTATGCTATATGCCAATCACCACCACCGGACAGCTTCAAGATGTCCTCAGGGGTCACAACACTGACCTTATCGTCATCAAACTTCACCCATTCATCTGTCCAGAGAGAGAGGGGGGGAAAGTCAACATCAGCTAGAATGTTAAAACACTCCGGGGTGTCCAATCCTAAAAACACCTGAACCAGCTAATCAAGGTCTTCAGAATTAGTTTTTGTTTACAACAAAATACTTGTTACTTTTTTAAATAAAGTAACCCTCATTATTCTTTTTACATTTATTGACTGGCTCCTCTACTGTCCCCATGTTGAGAGAAATCCGAATGGGAGTAAGGTGCGATTCTTCATCAATATATAAAAACATTTTCTTATGTCCATCAGATGTCTGTCTGTCTAAATCCATTCAACCACTATCAGGTCAAATGAGTTTTCGACTCCCTCTGGAAGCGGTCGAAAGTGGACAAGCTGAAAATATTACAGACCATGTTTACACCTGTATTCAGCGTTGTCCACTTGTGATCGGATCAACAAAAACGCATCTGAGTATCAGGTGTAAACAGGGCCTAAAAGAGTGTGAGAGCAACGGCCAGCTGAATGCAGAATGCAAAAGTAACAAATTGTTAGTAATGCATTACTTTTACAAATAACATTACTGTAATACTAGTAATGTAACATTATACTGTTACAAGTAAAAATCCTAGAATACTCACTCAAGCATGCAATCAAGATGCATTTACAGTTGCAAAGGCAAAACACTATGCATTTTACAAAAGCATCATGCAAAAACTTGCTGTTATTTAGAGGGATATTTCACCTTCAGTTGCTGGTCCCCATTGACTTCCATAGTATGGAAAAAAAAAACTATGCAAGTCAATGGGGACCAGCAACTGAAGATGAACTATCCCTTTAATGCATGGGGACCATGAACGTCGCTCTGGCGTTTGAGAGACATTGACAATACTTGACCTTCTTTCCTTTTAACCCAGGAGACATAGTGGCCAGATGAACTGGATCGCCCCTGATGCGTCAGAACCGCTTGCAGGTCGTAGTAACCACTGTTGCTGGAGCCCAAGTCTATAGAGAAGACAAAGTTATGAGTTTATAAATCCACCTGCAGAGTAAACTTTCAGAACCATGTTTGAAATGGAAAAGAGCTTTGCAGCAAGAATTTACCTTCAGAAAAACAGAAAGGTTCGTATTTTGTTTCCTTTGGAGCCCCAACCTTCAGATTCTCCTGTTGAATGAGAAATAAAATGATTTGACAGGCAGTTTCTCTAAATGCATGAAGCGTTCAGTTTGACATCACAGGGCACTTGCTTTTGGCTGCTGCTGCATCTCCAGTTTCTTGTCTTCAACCACCTTGAACTTTGACCTCACAGAAACCATCTTCTCCTGCAGTTCAGCAGTGCACAGCTCATAGACGTCCAGCATAAGAGGAAATTTGACATCCTAAACGCAGCAAAATTAAAATGCACACAAAATAACAAATCAATACAACAAATCAGACTTTATAGGAGGACTCACTCCAGAGCAAATGACCTACCTTAAGGACTTTGGCATTCACAGACTCTTTTTCTTTGTAAAAGAACCGGACCATCTGAACCGTGAGGTATGCCGGGAGACGGCTGATTTTGGACTTAAATGCAGTAACATAACAAGTGACTGTTCATTTCATTGTTGAACGAAAGAGAAAACACTTGAACAAAAGAGCATTTCTCCAAAGATGCCACAAAAGTCAGAAGATAAAGCATACCGATTTGATATAGAGGGCGTTTCTTTTCAAGGATGGGGAGAACTTCGTAATGTCCTCCTGTAGCCTCTAGATACAATGAGGAAAAGATAAAGATGAACAGGGACTGTGAGCTCTGGTGGTACTTCCAGCTGTTTGTATGGGACGTCCCACTCACCAATCTGAGTCCAGTGGCGAGATATTTGACTTCTGTATTGATGAAGCAGCTAAGCTGCAGCTGGCTCTCGGTGCCTTTAGTTGGATCCTCATCCTCTGACTCAGTGCACTTCATACTGGACACATACAGGTTAAGGACCTTCAAATATTACACATGTTCATATGGAACTGGAGAAAACTCAGGTTCAACTGCATGAAGTATTGCAAACCTCTCAATATACATGTATGGCAGTGTCCAATCCAAACAATGCAGTGAATTCAAAAGAGAAAAGTAAACAAATAGTCAGATGCATTGTAGAATTTAACAGGTCATATCCTCTGACAACTATAATTTAATGCACCGCATCTCACTTACTGGAAGTGCAAAATATCACTTTAGGATCACTTTAACAGGTAAACGTTTAAGCAAACGGTGCGATGCAGCTTATAAAGTAAAAACAGCCGCAGCACACAGAAGTAGTTATTAAATTTAATAAGTATATTTTTATACTTCAGTACTTATTAGTTATTTCAGTACTTCAACATACAAAATGGAAATGAAATAATATATATATATATTGAATGTATTTATATATATGTACATGTATATGTATATGTGTGTGGCTGTACATACACATATGTAGTTGTTTTTTGGTGTTTGGCTTAGTGTCATGTTAGAATCATTATTATACTCATACCTTTTGTTATTTTAATATTTTTAATTGTTTTTAGCTTTATTTTTTTTTTTTTCATTTAAATGTTTAGTTTTGAAATGTATGCATTTGTCATTTTTATTTAATTTATTTTCTTAAATGTGTGTATATATATAGTATTTATAGAGTTTTAGCTTTTAGTTTTAATTACTTTTTCTTATTTGTAAGTCGCTTTGGATAAAAGCGTCTGCTAAATGACTAAAAGTAAAGTAAAGTAAAAAGAAGTACTATCTGAGAGAGCACACACTGGTATAGATTTGCACAACAAAGGATACGTAGTTTCAAATTCAACACCAAAATACTGATCGATGAAATTCTTCGTTTTTGTGGAGGCAGCCGCTCCACTATCACTGTCAATCTGTTAATCAATCAAAAACACGCAGAAGAAAATTACAATTATTTGAAAAAAAAAAAATTCTAGTTTCCAAAAAATATATATGATAAAGACATTAAATTCTGTTTCTATGGAAGCCCATTTCCACCATGGAATAAAAAATTAAAAAGATAATTGCGACTTTTTAATCTCACAATTCTGACTTTTTTTCTCAGAATTGCGTAATATAAACTCGCAATTGAGAGTTAAAAAGTCATAATTGTGAGATATAAACTAGCAATTCTGAGAAATAAAGTCAGAATTGTGTGATATAAACTCGCAATTGAGATATAAAAACTCGCAATTCTGACTTTATAACACGCAATTAATTAAAAAAGTCAGAATTGCGAGAAAAAGTCAGAATTACGAGTTTTTATCTCGCAATTGTGACTTTATAACTCGCAATTGTGACTTTATATCTCGCAATTGTGACTTTATATCTCGCAATTCTGACTTTATAACTCGCAATTGTGACTTTATAACTCGCAATTGTGACTTTATAACTCGCAATTATGACGTTATATCACGCAATTCTGACTTTATAACACGCAATTAATTAGGGCTGTGCGATTAATCGAAATCGCGATTTGAGACGTTGCGATTTCCTAATCGCAAAGCCTGCGATGTGGACGCGATATTACTCTGTTCCAGAGCATATGCATGACTGCCAGCCTTGAGTTGCAATCTTACTTGCCCTGGGCAAGAGTAAGTTATATCTCGCAATTCTGACTTTATAACACGCAATTAATTTAAAAAGTCAGAATTGCGAGAAAAAGTCAGAATTACGAGTTTTTTTCTCGCAATTGTGAGTTTATATCACGCAATACTGTGAAAAAAAGTCAGAATTGTGAGATGAAGTCGCAATAACCTTTTTTTAATTTTTTATTCAGTGGCGGAAACAGGCTTCCATACGCTTCTCTGTAATGAAATATACTATTCATGGAATAGTTATGAAATAGAATATATAATATGATTAGCTTGCCTCCAGTGGGGTTTCTGGTTCTTGTGGTTCTAATTTCTGCTGAAGGACCCGCATAATCTGAACCCAGCACTCACTGGCATCCTGGGTGAATAAAAAAAAAAAAAAAAACATTTTATAACTTTCCATTTTAACAGAAAATATTCAGATTAAATGTGTTCCAGTTAAAATATGTGACCTGCTGGAGGTACTGGCCCTGGTCTCCTTTTTCGGCGAACTGTGGGAAGGCCAAGTGCAGGAACTGCAGCAGGATGATGGGTGGAATGCTTGACGAGGTCTTATCCATGGACTCATACAAATCACGCATAGCTAAGTGAAGAATTCACTTGATCAAACACGTGCTACACGTTAAGATTCAATATGACTATCCAGCTTAATTCTTTCATGCTTTAAAGTTCAGCTTGGACATACAGATCCTCAAGCGCTGACAGAAAGTCAAGAATTTTGTAAGCTCAAAACTAAAAGACGCAGTGAAAGTTTGTCACCTGCTGTGATGTACTGGGAAGGAGCATTGGCTCCAGAAGAACGCAAGGCACCAGAGTACCTACAGATGGAGGAAAATGATCACAAAAAGACATTGATGCATTATGCAAAATAAAATCTCTGAACTTGATATGAAGGACATGCCTAAATTGTACCTCCTGAGAGCGACTTTGAGCTCAGGCACAGAGCGTAGACACTGCACCGTTGCGTTCATGTAGCATGTGTTGCCCAGATTTGTCAATCCGCATGGCAACTCCATCTGAACGTGACAGAGATTACAGAAACGAGTTGTTTCTGTGATTCCTGCTAAAATACTGAAGTAGCTGATTATTTTGATCCAAATCCTGTTGGCTGAAAACTTACCGCAGATGCAAGCTGCTCCTCCGTCATGTCCTCCACAAACATGGGCCGCACTACAGGCTCTTCAGGCAGAGCGTCAGCGGAGCCCATCATCAGAAGAGTCATTCCCTACATCGATCAAAACATCTGCTTAGCTGAAGACAACTCACATTTAGAGTCAACATGAAACAGCATTTGCAACCCACTGATATGTGATAGTGTGATGCATCACTCAAGCAGGAAGATGGGTTGAACTTGATTTGAACCGTCAGAAGTTTATTGGATTTTGAAAAATGGGTGTTCTAAAACAGAATGGAGCCAGTTAGCAGTGGATTGTTGAAACATTTTTAAGGAGTTTTTTTTTTGACCAGGACTTGGAGGCTGATGGTCAAGTTCACAGTTGAGCGTGCAAGCCTTTCAAAGTGTACTACACTGGCGGTGAATGCAGATGGACATGTTCGTCACATGCACACTACCTAGTGAACGCTGAGCGCTCAATTCAATGAGCGTGATGCAATTTGCTAGAGTGTTTCAATGTATGTTGTTGTTTTAACTAGAATTAATAAAAGTGTTTAAAAGTTTGTATTGCAGCTTTGCAGAGTCTATTTGTTGACTTTGTTATTGCTTTAGTCTAATAAATTCTCTTTTTTTGATTGCATATTAAATTGTACTTGGTTTTGTATCTTGTTTAAATGCATATTCTGTGCCTAATTCTCGTGAGTGGTATACTTCTGTGCAAAGCTTTTCTTTCTTCTTTTTTTTTTTTTATACTAAACCTGAATTGTGGTAATAGGAATTTAGCTCCCACTTTATATTAGGTGTCCTTAGATATAATTAATTGTTTGGTACTGTGTGTTCATGTTGAATTACAAAATACGTTTGCTGCTTTTGAAGTGGGTATGGTTAAAGTTAGGGACAGGTTTTGTGGTATGGTTTGGTTTAGATTAGGTTTAAGCCGGGTGGGCTAAGGTGTAGGGTTTGGATCAACAGTGTAATTATGAATGTAACAAAATGCTATATTACAGATACATACAGGAAGGTATTTTTAAATATAAGTACAATGTAAACACCATGAATATAAGTGCACTGTATCAAATGCTTAATTCATATCTAAGAACATAGCCTAGTAGTTAAAAACACTTCATATAAAGTGGGTCCGGAATAGGGATATGCCGGTATCAAATTTTCATGTTGCGATTAATTGCTAATGCTTTTATCACGGTATTCGGTATTATCACGATATTGAAATGTAGTTAAAAAAAATACAGATTTGAAAATTTATT